TGTTATATGACTGTAAATAATATAAAAAATATTAAAAATTAATTTTAGACAAATTTCTTTACACATTATTCTTTCACAATGCAGTCATTTTTACTGCTTTGGGCAATATAGGTATGTACTAAGTTTCAGTCTTTCTAGTGTTAAGTTCGCTGCCAAAAAGCGGTAGGTTACGTCATCGGAGGATCCGTGACCTCTAATTGCAAGAGCAAATAGAAAGCAGGGTAAATAGGTTGTCGCCGAACGAAAGCAACAACTGATATGACGACGACATCCGAAAATACTTTCTACTGACGTTCGATCGCTGTAGTCCAAATCTCGGGCCTATTTACATGAACAGTAGAAAGAATTCGAGATACTAGCGAACCTACCGATCAACTCCCATTGTTTAATTTTTTTAAATACTCTGTAGCCACTTTCGCGTTAATTGACAAGTTTACTTTCTCCTTATCTCCGATAACAGTTGCTTGAAATCCTACACTGGCATCATGAAATGCATTGTATTTTTTTCGTAGCATAAAAACAGATATAAAATATGAATTTTATGTACATATGTAAAAATGTTAGGTAACCGCGAGAGTAGAATCCTTTGACCTAATTAAAAAGTTCGAAGCGAGTCTTACCTGCCCCGGATGGACCAGGCAACGGTACGTGGCACGACCCCCGAGAGCACAAGCGAAACGACGAACTATGTAGTAGAACGCGAGCCTCGTAGTTGGGCGTTCAGTCTCATAATTTGCCGCGGATAATGGAATCAAAGAATGAGGAACGCACGGGCGAGGGCCCTCTAGAAAGCTTTCCTTGGCGCATTCCTCGGGCGAGACGCGCGGTTCCACCGTTCTCTCACCTTAAAACCTCATTCGGCCCAGCCGGAATGAATGCGTTTATCAGCTCCGAGGTCGGAGGGCCCAGACGCAACGACCGCCCGTTAGCTTCCACGAATTGCTCTCCCTTCGTGCTGCACCGCCACTTGCGCGAATCTCTTTCTTTCCTCACTTGCTGCTGCGGAACGGAGCCTGCGCAAGATGCCACCGTACACTGCCATCCGGCTATTCCGATCGCGGGTTATACATATTATCTTGTTGCAGGGTCGCGATCTTTGTACTATGAACTTCTGTATGCTTCGCGCCTCCTCCCAACCCTTACTGATGCGCCCGTTGTTCGAGGAAACGTGGAAATCCTCGCAATCCCGAAAACTGAAGTAGAATACTACTGTATTAGGTAGACTAGTCGGGGGCTGGATTTCCACACCTAAATATATCATGGTGGGGGAAAAAGGTAGCCAAACTGATTCCTGACCCACTTGGCATCCACGCGAAATGTACGAAAATCTATTTTAAATCCTCCATCTTGAATTAAATATCTTAAACTTTAAGTAGAGATTTCAAATCCTGACAGAGTGACAGAATTATATAAAATATAATGCAATTGATATGTTTATGACATTTGAACTGCATTATTATAATTTAATGTTTGCGTGTGTAATGCCAAGTGGTTTGGAACGAGCCTCTCATTTTAAGGACGTTCTCATAAAAATTCATTTCTTAATACTAAACCTACTATATCGGTCAAA